TCTGGAACTCCCACTGGCATGGCGATGACATCTTGCAAAGAATTCACGATGGCATAAACACCATGTAGACGATAGCGATGTATTGTAGAATAGGCTAAGTTGAACAGAACCTCCTGTGTTCGACATGTTGCTGCTGTTCCAATCCAATTCAAAGTAACCGCTAAAATCTCACGAGGATCCTTCACAGATAGTGTGATGTGCTCACGACACTGTTCAAAAAGCGCGTCAAACGCTTCCACATCTAAGCGGAAGTGGTCACGGAAAAGAAAACGATTCGCAGATGCATGAATCGCGTCGAAGAAGTGCCTACCATCCGAGGTAGAGAGCCCCAATTTACGGACCACTTTCAGATGAGCCTCGGCTCGGGTCTCCCGATGAATTGCACTGAGGCGCGCCAGCGCGATACAAATAAGCGGTAAAACCGTGTCTGCTATCATATAAGTACTATAGATGGAAGGTTAGCAACTGTGACGGGGTCACACAGCACCTTGCACAGAGGAAGTGCTTAAGGGTATTAACTACCCGAGTGAACGTAAGTCCACGTGTTCCCGGCCTCAGTGGGAACGGTTTGCTACTTAGAGGAGTAGATTTAAGACTGATGTATTTATAAGTAAGATAAGCTTGGGTCTCATACAAACTAGAGGTTACCTATAGTGGAGCTAAGTAGTCATGCACTGACTGGCTCCGAGAGCACCTGGTACCGTGTACCAGGTGTCCACAAGAGTGACGGGTCACTCTTTATGTAACATGCGGCACACTGGATTGTACCCCGTTACATCCTCCCGCACTTAACTGAGAATCACCTGATTCTCCAATCACAACTGATTCTCCAATCAGAAGTGAGAGAATTAAAACACCAAAAGGTGAATTCTCACACTGAGCAGCCACGAGACCGGCGCGGCTCTCAGTCACACCCACAGTGACTTGTGCTGCCAAAGCTCACTGGGAAATTTCCCTGGGAATTTCATCCCTAGGTTCACAAACGTGGTTGGGGCGCCCAGACCTAAAATTCCGAATGGCTCTTATTCTCTGTGTGGTGGAAACCCCCCCCAAAGAGGGTTCTTGTGGCAAAGAGCGGGCAACAGAACATCGCAAGGGGGCAATCCCCCACGCCCCACCGAGACACACGTCTCTGACGCTCCGAGCATGTGTCTCCCGCGAGGGACAACACCGAGAAGGGCAACACCTTCCCCAGCACTAGAGGGAGCTCTCAGCTCACCTCGGGCCATGCCTTTGGCTCCAGCAAGGATCCATCCTTGCGGGCGGAGCTTCTGCCACGCTCTCTTCGCGTCTTGGTCACCATACCAATGGCGCGAAGGTGTCCTTCATCGACACCGTGTACCGTGACGGTACACACCCGTGGTGTAGGTGTCTCCCATCGACACCATGTACCGTACGGTACTAACCTTTGGTGCGGTACGCCCACCACAATGTTGCCATGTTTGGCGGCAACAGCTTCCGCTGTGCTGTCGCCTGAACAGATTCATGGCCAGTGCTCGCATCATGCACGACGCATGTGCAAGCACAGTGTACAGGTCCATGAGCCCGTACACAAGGTACGCTGTGTACGACACGTACCACAGCTACCAAAAGTGCTCCGTGCACGTCATGTGTGTCATGCACGACGAGTTCCCTACGTGGAACTCCTGGCAGGCTGCTCGACAGCAGCCAGTGCCGATGCACGGTACGCGCGTTGACTCACAGCGTCCAGAGCGAATCGGGTCGTGGTATGGTGCATATCCTTTGCACCTATACCAGTGTCCGTCACAGACACCATGTACCTTGATGGTACTCGACCGTGGTGGGGCACATCTCACCACTATGCCACTGCGGCATTGGTGTCTGGCATTGACACCGAGTACTCACGGGTACCAGCCCATGGTGAGGCAAGCAGCCATCACCACGATGTCATGCTCGGCGCGGCACCAATTACGACTGCGTGCGTTGCCTCGACCACCACCTGGTCAGTTGTGTGTGCACTCGTGCACCACACTTGGGCTATGGCTCCACGGCCCATTATACCCGGCGCGTTGCGTACATCACGTACCGCAACCGCTTTGTCGGCGGGTGAGACGTTCCGTTCACCCTACTCGACAGGTCGTTCATGGCCAAGGGAACGGTGCGTTGATTGCACTAGGCCCGCGCTTCGCCTCGTGTGTGGTTGCTTGCAACCCCAACACTGCTGATTCGGTCAGCGATTCCGAGGCACCTTGCGCCAGTGGCTTTCTTCGCCACTATGTCTTGTTCGGCTAGAGCTACCGCAGCTCTAGCCCGGCTGTTCGCCTCCAGCCTGCAGTCGATGTACATCGACGCCTGGTTCCGTAAGGAACTTGGTCTTACCTCAAGACCAGGGAGGAAAGGTATTTCCGAGCCTCTCCCCCACTTACACTCGAGACTATTGAGTCTCTCGTGGCTTGTGATAGTCACTGGCAGCACGACGGCTACTTGCCTCTTGGAAAGTCAGGGAGGAAAGGTGTTTCCGAGCCTCTCCCCCACTTAACCTCGAGACTACTGAGTCTCGCGTGGTTTCTAATAGCCACTGGCAGGCGCAACGGCTCTCCGCCATGTGCACTGCGTCGGTATGGTCGACCGCGTCGGCCGTGTCGACCGAAGGCATTCAGCCTTCGCGTCGGCAGTTTGAGTCTGCTCGACTTGACGTCGAGCGAGTTGCTCACGTCTGGCGAGGCCGAGACAACCTCGCGCCTCGAGCCAATGGCTCTGTGTGCGGCGCTATGGTACTCGCCTTGGGTGTGGACCTCTGTTACCCACACCGGAAGCGCATACAGCGACTTCCTTATCAGTTATAGTCTGAGTGACCTTGCGTGGAACTTTGTTACCCACGCTCGGAGCACCGAATGTCGGTCTCCTTAAGCAGCTTCGCTGCTTGCGGAACTTGTTACCCGCAGTGTGGACCTATGTTACCCACCTGGTGAATGCTCTTCGGCACCACCACTGTCGAAGCGCATACGGCGCGACGACCTTCGGTGTTGGGATCGGCTGGTGTGGCAGACCCGCACACACACCGGACAGTGTTGGTGTCCACCGACCGAGTCAGAGGAGTCTGGGCCCTGGACTCCGCGTCGCTTGAAGCGACGGCGGCCTGAACAAGGTTCAGACCCGACTTGCGGCGGCTGACGTGACGTGGCACTTTGTTACCCACGTCGTGATGTCTCGTTGACGACATCAAAGGCACTCGAGACCTCGTGTGGCACTGTGTTACCCACACAGGAAGCATGGACAATGCCTTCCTCTTCAGTTATAGTCTGGGCGACTGCGTGTGGTACTGTGTTACCCACACAGGAAGCGCATTCAGCGCCTTCCTCTTCAGTTAAGGTCTGGGCGACCGTGTGTGGTACTGTGTAATCCACACAGGAAGCGCATTCAGCGCCTCCCTCTTCAGTTAAGGTCTGGGCGACCGTGTGGTCCTAAGTTACCCACCTGGTTAGCGCTTAAAGGCATAACCACTGGCGAAGCCCGTACGGCGCGACGACCTTCGGCGTTGGACGCTGCTGGTGTAGCAGGTCCACACGTTGGGCAAAGACCCACGCCCGTGGTATTGCCGCAGCGGAGCATGGTCTTGCTGTACGCAGAGCTGTCAGCGCGTTGACAGCTCCGTGACGCTTCTGCGTCCTGGCAGTCTGTATCAGACGCCCCCGTCATGACGGAGGTGGGAACATGACTCACCAATGCTCCGTCATAGACCTGGACTGGTAGGCCCTTCTCAGCCTTGCCACACCAAAGTCCGGGCTGTGCCTTATGTTCGGCACAGCCATGTTGTTCATGGCGAGAACTGCGAGCGACACCGCGGTGCGCGAGTTCATCGAGCCGAAACGTTCAGGTCCGTTAAGGACCATTGGTACTTCCTTCACCGTACCAAAGGCTAGTCCATCAAGGACCAGCCCATGACCGCCACTCTGACGTAGAGTGCAGTCGAATGTCGTTATGCTAAGCGACGTTCCGGCGGCGTATCAACGCCCCAGAACTAATCAAACGTTCAAGGGGTACCGTACCCCCGTACACCGAGTGTACTACCAGCAGCCCATCACTGCCCTTCACCGGTTTGAGAGAACCACGTCTCTCTGGGCTAAGTCCCGTGGTGCGCACAACCTGCACACCCATCACGAAGACTTAGCGCTCTTCGGTAGGGCATACCGCCTCTACTGGTGGCTGGGGAGTCTTCGTCCACCTGGCCGTGGCCTGCGCCACCGGACTTGGGGCCCACGGGCCGTCTTCTTCCCGATGACTAGCGAGGGACACACACGCTGGTAGTGTCCATGTCCGCCGCATCCATAGCAGCGGACCAAGCTCTCGGCTGAGCTTAAGTCCATGGGCTTGGGCTCGCTGTACGCACCGGTATCAACAGGCTGCGTGACAGCAGGAGCAACAGCGTCATTGCTGCGATGCTCCGCCTCCCGAGGAACGCCATTCTCATCGTGGCGATGTTCCTCTTTTCGAAGAGTACCAGCCTGCTTGTGGCTGTACTCTTCTTGGAGGGCGATTCGAATCGCCTCCTCCATAGTTGTCGCTTGCACCCGGAATAGCTGGGTGCGAGCAGGACCGACCTTCAGGCCGTCCATGAAGACTGTTGTCTTGACGTCTTCAGGCAGAGGATTCCCTGCCAGAGATGCCACCAACGTGCGCATCTCTTGCGCGTACTCCTGTAGCTCACGTTTACCTTGCTTACACGCGAGAAAGCGTGAGCGCTGGTGGAACTCGTTGTTCGCCGGTAGGAACGCGGCTCGAAGCTGCTCAC